TACTGCAGCTGCATTATATTAATCAGTTTAACATAGTGTATTGTGGTCTACCACACATTTCTGTCAGAGTTCAGTAAAATGTATACAGAATCACAGAATATTTTTTTTTAGCTTGCTTTATTTCAGTTTTAATATAATTAATAATTCTGTTGCCAAATCCCTTCTTTCCTTCTCAGAGGCAGTGACCTTCTGGTTTGTAAGTTCAGCCGAAATTTTCTGTGAATTTCTGTGCTACATTTATTGTATTTTGTGATGTCCTGAAACATGCAGTCCCTAACCAACTGGGAAGCTAACTTTTTTTCAAATTCAGCCTTTGTTGTAGTTGTTGTTGATTCAAAGTATTTACCTGTTTTTCAAGGAGTGATCACTGATGAATAGTGAGGGTGTAAAGCTGAACTTTAAGGTACGAGCATGTAGCTGAAAATTAGTACTGATGGATCCAAACCACATACCACAGTTTGTGTTTATATCCAGGCTGTGCTACCCAGATCTAACTCTTAAATAGGAAATAATTTCCGAAGATGAAAGTGTGGTCCAGAGACTGAGAAGGCAAGAGTTTGATTTCCAGCTCCACTGCTGGCACATGGCTTGGCCTCAGGCAAGACAACATGCACCTCCATGTGCCTTAGTTAGCTGCTGAAGGGCTGAGCTTACCTCCCACAGCACAGCATCTTCAGGGCTGCAGTTGGAAAGCTAAGTAGTTCATTGAGCTCAAGAGTGTGGGACTGTTCTTTTTTAAGAAATTTCAAAGAAACTGCCTCATCTTGACCTGAAATTTTCACTCAGATTTCATCTTTAGTAAATATTAGAAATATTGCATGGGATTAATCAGCAGGTCAGCTGTAACTTAGAGAGCTACTTGTTATATACATATGAATTCATGAAAATAATTAAATTTTAATATCTCCTTAAAAGGTGATGCTGTATTTTTTGTACCTGTGTTACAAACTCTATTTAGTACTTGCAAAATTGGTTTCACATTTTCACCATTGTTTTCCATACAGTTCTACTAATTTAAGGTTTATCAGGCTGCTAAAAAAAAAGCAATCCTAAAACCAACAGCCTTTGTACTTGTTTTGTTCTGTCGTTCAAGTCTGCAAGTGCAAGAGTGATGCATGCTTTGTATTTTGAACTCTTAGCATCAGCACAGTCGCTGAGAGTCTTTCTGCAGCTACAGTCATGCAGAATGCGTTGCAGAGGTAAAATGGGGAGTCGAATTTGGCCTACGCTGTGCATTTAGCCTTTCCTCTCAATAAATTATTAACATTGTTGTGAAACATTGGTCTTCCCTTTCCCAAACAAGGACTGAAGGAGAAGGGCCCTGTCATGCCAGACCTTTCACTGCTCACAAGCAGTCCCAGAACACATGTTCCCTCCTCACCTTCAAAAGGGTTCTGAGGCATTAAAGCTCTGCAATAGCTGTGCTGTCTGGAAACAAAGCCAGTGTTTCCTTCTCAGGCATTACAGGGACAGGTGTTGAGCTTTGGAAGAATAAAGCACTCAGTGCCCACAGGGATGGGAGGAAATAGAGAATAGGTGTTGGTAATCTGCATTAAATGGTATTAAAATTATTCCTGGGAGATGAGAAGGGGATATTAACAGAACATGGATTTTTTTTATTATACTCTGGTTCTCACTTAATATGCATAAAACATTATCCAACAGCTTATGCAAACATACACGTGGGAAACATACAGGAAATGTCATTTGTGAAATGTGTCTGATGCTTGTTCTGCATACACAAATGAGGATTATCCATTACATATGAGTCTCATAAGTGTTAGTAAACTTTTATTGTTAAATATTTTAAAAAGTAGTAATTCCTCACTGGCAGAATGGGTCTAGGGAATAGCATTTGGAATTTCCCCCCCATATTATTGACTACTGATTGTTCCTTTAGCTAATATTTTACATATATATTTATATATAAAAGGAAGAAGAAATATATAAGGAAGAAGAATTATATAAGGCAAGTAAAATAGTCAGTACTAGGAAGACTGTGTTCTTCTGCCTGACAAAATTTTTAAAGAAAACCAGGCATGAACTAGGACCATTTGTACACTGAAGTCAATACCAGTTCCTCTGTGTTTAACATCAAACTGACCACCTGCTTTCTTCATTTGTCTTGTGCAGACTGTTAGTAAAACCAAGCTCACAGCATGTCTTTGTCAGTTGCCATGGCTATATGCGAACCTGCGGAAATCCCTGCAATCATCTTAAAAGACAAGCAAACTATAAAAAATCGGAATACTGGAGGCTTACAGCCACTTACTGTTAAATTTGTCCATTTCTGTATATCCCTTTGTTTTCCATTGGTTTTAACTTAGGCAGCCTTAAACCTGTGATGCTGAAATCTTTCATGTCACTCATTTACTTGAGTATCTTGGAAATTGGATGAGTTGTTTTTCAGCAAAAGAGTAGGAAAAGACACACCAGTACTTGAGACAAAAGGAATAACGTAAAATGAAGCATAGAGAGCTTACAGAAAAAAAGGAAAAAGGTCTGAGCAGCAAAGAAACGTGTGTCTTTGTGGTCAGGAAGTGAGCACTGGGGAGAGACCTGCCAAGGGTGAAACTGCGTTAGACCTTGCCAAAGAAATTAAAACAAATAGCAAAGATTCTTTACCCTTATAAATAAAAGAGGAAAAAGGGAAGAGGGGAGTCCACTGCGAGCAGTACACACACTGTTTCATTCTGCCTTTTTCTTCCCTTTTTGCCTCTTCTTTATAATATTTATCTGCATTAACTAGTTCTTTGCCAGCTAAACATTGCCACTGCAACTGCAGAGCCTACTGTGTCCATCGCTTGCCTTCCACCAGGGAGCCCTTGCTCTCTGGAATACCTCTGTCACACAGAGTAAACCAGTCCTGAAGGGCAGCTAAATCCAGCCTGGACCCTTCCCCAGAGCGGATGCAGACAGGGCTTGCCAGCAGCAGGGCACACAGCCACAACCCATGCACCCACTGCACCAGTGAGAGGATCAGTACTTACCCTCCCCAGTGGCAGTGGGGGTTTCCCCAGGGCCTAGATCTACCTCTCAGCATGAAAATAGCTGGGACATGCCAATGTCACCACTAGATTTTTCCATATTGTATGAGTTCTGCTCTGTATGAGCAAGAAAGCTTCAATTCTCGTGAGCAAGGCAGTGTCTTTTGTTGTAGGAATAATGTAATGGGAGGTATGATTAGTGGCAAAAGTCAGACAAGTAGATGTTACAGTAGCCCAGTCCCTAGTATTAGTTTAGGATGTGACCACACTCAAAAGAAGGTCAGAAAGGTTTCCTAAACAAAATAACATTCTCCTCAAGTCTCAAGGATTTGGTCTTGACGATGGTTGGAAATCAAACTGTTCAGCTTTCCTCAGTAGATTAATGAAAATAGAGTTTTTATTCTTGCAGTGATAGGCACCTCAGTAAGGCATAGACAAATTCTTAAGGAAAAAATGTACATTCAAATAAAATCTTGATTACAGCAATTGATATGTGTTAGTTGAGAGTCTTCTTGGGTGGAGAGACAAGAATGAAAGAACAGTAACAAAAATGTCACATTGTGGTGTCTGTTTATTGTGTAATGCAGCTGCAGAGGCATCATATACACATCCATATTTGCCTCAGTGAATAATAAATAATAATCAAATGGCATGGAGATGACAGTGAAGAAATATCAGCTGATGGAATTTTTCCTTCATCTTAGAACAGGCTTCATTTTTTAGTATTTTACATTTGTACTCTTTCTTTTTTATCCCATTCCTGTTGAAGAGTGCTGGTGTGAATGTTCATGTGTGTATGTTATGCTTGTTTACATAGTACACTTCTTTTGGAGGCATTTTGTATACAATAAAGTCATTCACTACACATATACACTATTATAAACAAGACAGTGTAAAGCTGCAGTATAACAAACTAACAATCGTAGAATCATAGAAACACAGAATAGTTTGGGTTGGAAGGGACCTTAACCTTGGGCTGGATCATCTAATTCCAAGCCCCCTGCCATGGGCAGGGACACCTTCCACTAGATCAGGTTGCTCAAAGCCACATCCAGCCTGGCCTTGAGGACAGCCATGATGACAGTGAGATGCACGGATGTGCAGGGCTGGCCTAAGCCACAAGCTGTCCAAGTAATTACATGACATCCCTCCCACATGGCTTTTCTGGTTCCCCATCCCTGCAGTTCATGCGGGTGGTTTGCACTGCAGAAATAGCCTAAGTCTTTCCTGTTCCCCAAGAAATATATAAGGCAACTTAGCTACCTTTCCCAGGATATGCAGGTCTCTCAAATCTTCTGAAATTCGTCACGAAACTGGCAAAGTGTGCAGTTGGTATGAGGATCACAGGAAATAGTATCTTACAGATACTCTCCCTCAGCAAAACAGGCAAAGAACTCACTGTGAACCTAAACTTCATCAGCTGTGCAGATGATCCATAGGCATATGGATAGGCATATACAATGCTTCAGAACAGCAAGATTTTTCACTTGCTTGTTGCCCATTGCTATGATTTAAAAAAAAAAAAAAAAAATGTTTTAAAGGCCCATTTTTTTTTTTTTTTTTAACTTTTTTTTGTGTAAAATTTTGTGTAACAAAACCTGCTCATTTTTAATATAAAAAACAAGAGAGTAAGGTGACTCTGTGGTTTAAACAGGAGATCTGGAGACCAAGTTCTCTTTGTATTGCTTCTCCTTGAGCTTATGCTAGGTATGTATCCCATTTTCCTTATTACTAAAAGGAGGATGAGCCAAAATAATGGGAACCATAGAAGGCTTGATATAAATATTTTGAAAATTATATGAGATTTACTTATGGCTTAATGACTTTTGGATACTTTTTTTTCAGCTGATGTTAACATACTCATTACCACAGTATTCCTGGTTTTCATTATGAGAAAATGAGAAGAAAATGGGATGGAATTGAGCTTTTCCCCTAATTTTGACCACTTCAAAGCATGTAATGTTTCAGCAAATTCAATGCTCAGCATGTTTCTTTCATGTCTCTGTTTTTTAGGTTGTGCTGTGGATGGTCATCCAGCCCCAAACATCACCTGGCTTTACTCTGGCAAGCCTCTCAGCCTGCGGCACCACCTCCTGGCAGCGGGTCGGATTCTTCAGATATTCAATGTCAGTGATGCTCCTGATGGTGAATTCAGCTGCCTTGCTCAGAATGAGGCTGGCTCGCTCACACAAAAAACATCCCTGGCTATACAAGGTAACTTTCCAGTTTCAGTCCTGCTGCCCTACGAAGCTCTTGCCATGAACTTCCCTGCACTGCCTTTCTCTTCCTGGATTTCTCCTCTGTGAAGCCAGGACGGTCATGTGCAGCGTGAAATAGATGTTTTGATGGTTTACTGCCATGGATATAGATTTGAAGGACTACCAGGTACTTTGCAGTGTCTTGGGTTTTACTTCCCCAAAATGCCATCTGCTATTTCTGACCTGCTGATCTTAAAACACACCTTACTGATTCAAGCTCTGCTTATGCTTCTTGAGTCTGGACAGTTTTCTTGTCTCAAAATTCAAGACAGAGGTGTCACAGTTTGAGCCCCTGCAATGAGAAGGCCTTCCGTTAATCTGCTCAAGTCAGTGTCTCATAGTCTTCTTACTCGAAACCCTTCTCTTGTAAAAATGCTGCAACAGCTATGCTTACCCTAGAAATAATCCGAAGGTGGTAAAGCCACGGAACAGAGCAGATGGCTGGAACAGAATATGCAGCATTCATTGCTTCCATTATCAGGGATGGAGTGGAGGCAATTTAACTTTTCCTTAAATTTTGCCATAAAATTTTCAGTGTTTTGTAACTCCCCCATTCATCTTCAGGATGGATGATCCATACAATCATCTCCCTGTGAAAAACACACTGTTGTAAGATCACAGGATCACAGGTACTGCTCATAACTGTAGTTAAGCTCGTATTCACTGAACCATACCCCTTTATGAAGATAGATGCAATGTCCTGCATCACTGGCATCTGGTCTCACTTAACTACTCTACAATGTCATTCACTTTACGTGCCTGATGGGTTTCTTATGCCTCAGACAGTCAGTGCCTTACTGCACCTGTAATCCTGTTCTTTCTTTGTGCATTGCCTGGTGCCTTGTAGGCGTAGGTAGCTCCCCTTCACATGAGAAGCTAAGTCTACATGTGTCATCCTGGAGAACACCTCCAACTTCTCCTTTCCTAGAGGTCTCCTGCTAGCAGTTTTTGAGCGTTAACACATCTCTCCCACACTTTTTGGCAGAATACCGCTGGTCAGTGGACAAGATGTTGGCTTGCTCAGCTTCCTGTGGCCACAAAGGGGTGCAGCTGCCCCAGCTGAGGTGCTTACTGGATGGGGCCGAAGTCAACATATCCCACTGCAAAGAGAAGCCCAAGCCAGCCCTGCAGCCCATAGCGTGCAACAGGAGAGATTGCCCTTCACGGTTCGTCTGTCCTCAGTTAAAATGTCATAAATGTTTTTAAGATGTGCTTGAAGACTTCTTTTCACCAGACATTATGTCGTTGCAGCCTCTCTGGTGCCTGTGTGGAGAAAAGTGAAGACTAAAAGAGAATTTATGAGTTCTTAACCTAAATAGTGGGGAATTTGTAGCAAGATTTGTGGAAAATATTGACACTACATGGTAGGAGAGTTTACTCCTCGAGTAATTAGGTTAGAAAATAATAGAGAGGCTGTTGCCTACTGTGCTATCAAAGTTCACAGCTTGAGTTGTCTTGGGTGATACCAGTCTCACCCTATGTTGAATGTAAATATCATGCCTGTTACAACTCTGTGCATACGGGAGTTCTGTCACCTGAGAACTGCAGGATCATACCTTTTTTGTGTTCCACATGACTTCATATCAGATCCCAACAGTATAACAGACAAGAAGCTAGGTTTAGCAGCAAGGTTTTATTCTGAGTTCCTATGTTTCCTGGACATCAGTACGGGCAAGAATGTAGCCGAAGCTGCAAAGAATTCCCTTAGCAGAATGGAAATGTCTTTTGTGAAATGGGCACATCCGTGACATCCAGTGGGCATGAAGGGGAGGTCAGATTGAATTCTGCCTCCTTTTGGAGATTGCCATCTTCTTGTTTCCTTGGGATTGTATCTCTGTGCCCCTGTAAATACCTGTTTTTCAGTTACTGTTAAACACAATGGAGCCAGAGCAGCTTGAAATACTTCTGACTACGCTGAGGTCTTCCTCTGCTGCTTCCTTCCCATGCAAAACACTTTCCTTCTTTGACGTCCTTTGGTGGAAAGAAGAATATGTCCTGAGTGCCTATCCAGAGAGTCAGTGTAGTGTTAGACTCCCTCCATGTTAAAAATGTCCTACTTCTGCAATTCAGTGGCTCCTTAGCCGAGATGTGGAAACGTGCTTTCCCATATTTTTCTGTGTTTTTACTCCCTCCTCTCCTTTATTTCCACTGTGGACATGGTGTGTTTCAGTATACAAGCACTTAAAAGTAGTTAGGATCTCAAGAGAAATTTAGTACAACTTCTCTCATTCAGCAGTGATTTGGGACTTGCATTAAAAAAGAGAGTCTAAGCTGAGGCAAGGAGGCTAATCAACCTGATGAGAAGTAAGGGGCCGGATTTACCGTTCTTGCTGTGTCTTGGGTATATGGCAAGATTCTGTTTAATTGCCTTTTACAATACATTCCTACCCCTCTTTGCAAGCAAATGTTTTCTGACTTGGCATCTGAGCCATAAGAAAGAAACCAAAAGAGATTTGATGAAATACGAAACACGCTCATTAGCAGCAGTTTTCCTTGGTGATGGCAATAAATTCCATGGGAATGGTTTATTTCTTTTTACACCTTCGCTGAACTGTAACGCAACCCACAATCCTTTATCAGCTCCTTAGAAACTGCTGAGATGTAAGCCTGGAAATAAAAGTTGATTGAAATGCAGAGGAAAGCTTTATAAGGGGTAAGCAAATTTCAGATTCAACCTCACCAAACTGCATGAAAAAAAGTAGCAGCATTTTTGTTTTCCATGTTGGGAATGTGTTTGTTTATATTTTCATTTCTGTGACCGCTGGAGTTAATCACCTGCAGAAGACTGAGGAATAGCAATGGACACCTCTTCATGGGACTGGAGAACACCTATTGCCTATTTTGTAAAGTAATCGTAAAGACTGCTGGTGAGGGATGTGATAGGCACTATTTTCCTGCCAGTCACACACAAATCCTGCAGGGTATCCTGAACCTTAATGAAGCAAACTGCTGAGTTGACCGTAAAACTCTTCAGGATATAGTAATCAGACCCATCCTTCTTGTTCCTACGTATTTCCTTCCAAACCTGACTGTATGAGTATTTCACTTAGTGATCCTTGGATGCTGTCCACCTTGGTAGGAGTTTGGACCTGGAGTATTCTTTTCTGGTGAACGTGTGGCCTGAACTCAAGACGTGCAGAGAAAGGTGTCCTTTGCCTCCAAATTGACTGTGCACTGTTCCCATCCCTGAGCAACCTTCAGGCTCTTCTGGATTATCCCAGCTGTCAGGGACATAACAGAGCAGGCAGCCACCAGTAGGACCCACCAGTAGGAGAATTTAATGAAGAATGTGCTCTTTTCTCAGCTTTCATGCTCTGAGCAATTTTCAGTGACTACCGTGAGAGGCTGAGGCTCTCGGGACCTTCCAGGATCGCACCCTAAATGAACCAAGCCATTGCTGCCTTCCTTTGGTCCAAGACGCAAAGACCTGTGGACAGCAGTGATCTGCAGACGGTGGCACGTATCTGCTCCCTTGACCTGTTCGCCTTTCTCTCACAGGTGGATGGTAACATCGTGGTCTCCTTGCACACGGAGCTGCGGTGGAGGCACCCAGATGCGCCGAGTGACGTGTCAGCGCCTGACGGCGAAAGGCAGCTCTGTCCCGATGTTGAATGATGCTTGTGCCCAGGTGTCCAAGCGCCCTGTGGACACCCAGAACTGTAACAGGCAGCCCTGTGTTGAATGGGTGGCCTCCTCCTGGGGCCAGGTAAGGAACGAGCCAGCAGTCCTAGGACAGCCTCATAATGCGGGCTAGAAAAAAGTGACAGAAAATCAGAGGAGTGATTTTGCACCTTGGTATCTTTAGGTTATGATCTGCAGGCTTTTGAGGAGGCAGCTAAATTGCTCAGCTCTTTTAACTTCATGTTTGATGCACGGCATGCTTCGATTTCTGCAGCTTCCCACAATCCCTAGAAATGCTGCTTGTGAACAGGAGTTTTACTCCAGACCCCTGTATCGTCCCCAGCAGAAAGTTCTGCAGCTCCTCTTTACAGTGACAGGTGACACATCTGGGAAATAGCTGTCTCCAAGCCTTAATTCCCTTACCACCCAGTGAGTGTGCTTCAGTTTGGGCTGGCAGGAGTCAGGGCTGGTGACTGTGATAGGTTTGGGGCAGGAGGGTTGTACAGTAACCCAGTTTTACAATGTTGCTAATGTTGCCCAAGAACTCCAAAAAGTGGGAGCTATCTTGACTTGCTTCATGATGAAAGGCAGAATGGAGTTTTAAAAGCATTTGCAGACTACTTCATGCTGGTTTGCAGATCTTAAATTCTCTCCCTGCAGCTCCATACAATGATCAGACAGTTAAAAGCTTCCCTCCATAAATACGAAATGTTCCAAGCATTTAAGAGTTAAATCACTTTATTGCTGAAATCCACAGGTGACTTTTGTCTTTTTCTCTCTGTAAGCTGTGAGATTTCCCGAAAAGACACTTGTCTGTATATATTCATAGAATCATAGAATCATAGAATCACAGAATCATGGAATGGTTAGGGTTGGAAGGGACCTTAAAGACCATCTAGTTCCAACCCCCCTGCCATGGGCAGGGACACCTTCCACTAGACCAGGTTGCTCAAAGCCTCATCCAGCCTGGCCTTGAACACTTCCAGGGATGGGGCATCCCCAGCTTCTCTGGGCAACCTGTGCCAGTGCCTCACCACCCTCTTCGGGAAGAATTTCTTCCTGATATCCAATCTAAACCTCCCCACTTTCAATTTAAACCCATTACCCCTTGTCCTGTCACTACAGGCTCTTGTAAAAAGTCCCTCCCAGCTTCCTTGTAGCCCCTTCAGGCACTGGAAGGCTGCAATGAGGTCTCCCCGGAGCCTTCTCTTCTCCCGGCTGAACAAGCCCAACTCTCTCAGCCTGTCCCCATAGCAGAGGTGCTCCAGCCCTCTGAGCATCTGCATGGCCTCCTCTGGAGTTGTTCCAAATGGTCTATGTCCTTCTTATGTTGGGGGCTCCACAGCTGGATTATTATTATATATTCAATTATAATCTGGGACCAGTCATTACTATGTGCTTCCTTGCTTTTGTCTCCACTTCAGTTTGTGTGAGCAATAGGTGAAGCTTGATGGGTCCTCTACAGTCCAGCCTTAAGGGTAGAAACACACAGATTTTATGTCAAAGTTCTCCAAAGTGGTGGTTCACATGGGGGTATAGCATTCCAGGGTGAATGAGAGACAGGGATAAAACCACAGAAGCCAATTTTGCTAGAGGTTAAAGCCTATACTAACTACTTTAACATCACTTCTGGTGAAATAAGCATTTTCAAAGGGAAAAAGATAAGCAATTTGACCCAACCAACGTAGTCATATATCTAATTGAAATGACGAGTCAGGGAAAGGCATAGAAGCGAGGGTTCTAACCATGCAAGAAGAGGCTAAGAAAATAATTACCCAGAGAGAATTATTAGTCTTGGCATATAGCGAGCTATCATCAAATATTTTGCCTTCTCTTCCAGTTAGTGTGTAGTAAGTCAGTTTGAAAACAATGGCAAGTGCTATCTCATTCTATTAGAGGTTAGAGTAAGACAGTAGTTTGTTATTAATAACCACACCCTTTCTGTATTTGCTGGGGGTAATGTGCACAACACATTGTGCTGCATCAGATTTTTTTTACCATGTTGGTAGTAAAAAGTGTCTTTAGCTAATAGAACTTGTTGTTCACTGTTAGAAAACAACTTCATTTAACTCTTGCCTGTGTATTTTGGAAATTTCTCTCATAAAAGGTGACTGAGTTATTGTATTACATTTATAAGTAAAGCTTGGTATTCTCCTTTTATACAAAAGAAGCAGATTTTCACTCCCTGTGGAATTCCAGGTAAGGACTGGATTATCCTTGCAAAAAAACAATTACCTCATCCTTATTTCGTAGGTCATTATGGGCTATATTGTTCCCTATGACATCATATTCAGTGGAGACAATCAGAAAGGTCTGAATTAATTTGTCAGACCTAACCTCTGTGCATTATAATATAATATTCCTTCTACCTAGCTTAAAAAAAATAAGTAAGTGAAGCCCCACAGGATTCTATACAGCTCAGTATCCAAGCCAGAAGACTTTCATGTAATTACGGTTAGGTTAGGAACAGATCACTGGCTCAGTAGTTCAGTGGACCAGTGACCTTCTTGGTTGTCCCATGGGGTATGAGGTCCCTGTTGCCCAGGTTCAGTGACCAACTTTCCCAACTCACAGAGAAAATAAACAGACTACCTACTGTACTCCCACCTCCAGAATTAATTCCTTTCCTTCATTCAATGTTAGGGGCATTTTGATCTCCACTATGTAACCCCATAGCGTTTTAAAACTATTGACTCAGGTTTGACTGGGATGAGGGCTACTAGCCCTTGCAGATATCATGGAAGTGTTCTTCATACTCTGACAAACACCAATTCCACATACCTTGCTCAACAAGTGGGTTGACTGGGAGCAACTGGAAACCTGGCAGTCACTGCTTCTCTTTCCCACTTGTCAGGGAGGGAAGAAGTAGCAGCAAGAAGGGTGTATTATGTGAGGAGTGCATGGTAGTGAGAAACAGGACTCCTACTGGTGTCAATGTGGAGGGGGCAGAGGGATCAGTCAGCAGCCCCCCCCGGCAAAAAATTCCTCACTTACACAAAGGTCCCTTTCCTTAGCCCTCAGTCTGTTCCTGAATACAATTTCCAGATACTTAGAAAAACAAACTTTTCCTAACAGTTCACATAATTTTGAAAGAACACAAGTAGATGCTTCATACCTATCGCTCATGCTGATTTAATCAAAAGAGAGGGTTAGAAGACTTAAACAATAAACATGTGATTGATAAGCTTGAATAGGTTAGGATAACCTCAGTATTGGAGCAAGTTTGTAAGTCTGCTGTGTTCTTCAGGCTTGCAGCTTTTGTTTACAGTCAAGCAGTGCTTTTAAGTTAATAAATGGAGTGGAATATGTTCTTGGTTTAATGCATTCTTGGTTATTAACTATTTGCCCATAAATTGTGATAGTACAAACTGCAAAACGCACAATAAAAGGAATGTATTGAGGTTTCCTCTATGCTTCCATCGGCTCTTGGCTAATGACATGAGAGCATTTTATTTGCCCTCACAGATGCATTTAAGATTGAACTGTTGAAGAGGAAAGGTAATGAATCTACAGGGCAGATATAGAAATGCAGTTTTAATGCTGCTGGGGGAGAGTGAGGTAGGGCAGAAGATGACTGCGTGCTCAGCCTTCAAAGCCTGCAGAGCTGCAGGAAGTGCTCAGAAACTCAGCAGTCACTGCACGGCAGTGTGCACTGCATTTCACCAGCGATCTGATGGAAGGGGAACACGACCTGCCTTCTACCTCCCTTAAGTGATTTTTTCTGTGTTCGCAGTGTAACGGGCCTTGCATTGGACCACGACTGGCTGTGCAGCACAGACAGGTATTTTGCCAGACGAAAGATGGGACTTCTGTGTCGTCAGATCAGTGCAGTGCCTTACCAAGGTAGGTCAGGAATCTCTTACATCTGAAACCACCACCCCTCGCGCAGATGTTGAATGGTCTAGTGACTTAACTGACGAGTTTTAGGTTTCCCCTAAATAACAAAGAGGTCCCGCTGCAACCCATACAGTTACGTGGCACAAATCTCACCAGGGTTAAGGCCAGGCTTTACTGTTTCTTATGAGCCCCAGAAAAAAACAGTAATCGGCCAGCAACTGGAAAGTCTTCCAGGGGTGCCAAATCCCAACTGAAAGGCTGTGCTATCTCTTCTTAAGCTGCCAGTCTCCTTCTGTCTTAAACACAAGCTCTAACTGGGGGGAAAACGGGACTCCACAGCATTTGTTTTCCTGCAGATAAACTCCGCTGTCAACATTGTAAAGACATATTTACTTTACATGAGACTTAGGTATGTAAATCATGCCTGATCATGAGTGATAATTAATATAAATGGCTCTTTGGCTCCCACTCGTGTACTTCCATTATCTTTGTGACAAATAGGTGGGAACCAAGTGTGCCTAGGCACCTTCTGTGAGACTGCGTTGAAAGGAAAAGGAGGGTTTCAGAGAACTGTGTTTGTTCCCACTGGCTGTGAAGCCATGAAAAAGTCACAAGGCTGTTCTAGGTCTTACTGGTCTCTACTTCTGTATGTTTTCAGTGGAACTCTGTTTTGGCACTGGATGAGGAAGACATTTAGGCCAAATCCTCAAATAGTTCAAATGGTCATTTAGCTCCTGCAGTGCTGTACCAGGGAGCGCTCGCTGAGGGCCTGGCCCTTGAGTGCAGTTACAAACTGCCTTTCGGTGCACTGGAGGTACCCCTGCTTGCATCCATCAAGGACCTGACCCGTACAGTGCTCTGAGCAAATTAACGTTTGGGATGTGCTGTCCCCGGAGCTTGCATGACAGCCGGAGCAGCACGCGCTTGCTCGCTGGGCAGCGTGGTGATGGATCACCCCTCCCTCCCTCCTGCCCGCAGGCCTTTGAGCACCCAGAACTGCTGG